TTTGTGAGTTAGAATTTTGTTCTGCATTTTTCTCCACGTCTGTCCGGGACCCCTCTATTGTGAACCCTTTCACAGCAGTTGGTGGTGGTAGCTGGGCACCATCTAGTTGTGCTGGACTCAGTCCATTGGAGGCTGTAGTACTTGTGGTCCATCTTTCCCTTGTGTCTTTGGAAACTCTACCATTTTTATAGACAGCATATTATAAAGGAAGTATAATAAAAAAAACTTAGTGGATTTATAGAGGACATCAATGAACAGCGGGTTAATTAAACATGGTTACATTTCACTAGACTCTAATACAGTGTTGCTTCAATACTCATTCCTTTATTACTTCCTTTTTTCCACATACACTTAATGCAGTCTAATGGACTCTCCTTTCAGAGTTCAAGTTTTCATTCCACACAGGAGGGAATACAAGGAATTACACCAATAGGTACTATTATCATGAAATGTTTCTAATTTTATGCATTAAAGAAATTCCAATGAGAAAGATTTAGTTCTATCCTTTTCCAAAGGCTAGCCAATTAAAAAGTGAGTGAAGATTTCTTTTGTACTGGAGCATTAAAAGCACATTCTTTCCTTTTCAGTTATGCCAACAGAAAAAAGCATGGTCAGGGACTTAAACTCCCTTTGAACACGGTTTTCTTTTCCTTCAGATTTTCTGTTAAAAACATCAACAACAGACATATTAGGCGCAGACAAGGCCATTCTGAGGGTCCCATGGCTACTCAAGCATACTTGAGCCTCCTCAGGTTAGGGTAATGTATCTCCCTTCTTGACTTTAGAAGAAAAACCAAGACAGTATGGTGCTACTGCATTATTAGGGAGAGAATCAATCTTAGTTGATTTACTGTGTATTTCCTGCTGAAACCATACTTGTGAAAAGAAAACAGCTGTCTGGGTGACTGAGAAACATAGCCTTTTTATCAGAATGAAATCCTGCACACAGCTGATATCCAAATACCTGGGCACATCAGCAAATCTTATTTCGTGTGGCAGGACCTTATGGGAGTGGGGTGTGAGCAACGGGACATAAAAGTAAACAAATGTTCAACGGAACATGGGACAATTTGCTGCTGACAGTGGAGAAACCTTTCTGACTCACCTGGGCCAAGGCAAACTTTATTCTCATTCTCAGATGCAGGGTTCCTGATGAACAGCCCATTTTAAACAACAAATATTTAAGTCATGCAAAGTTTAAATAGTAAACAATGAAAAACAGATTCCACGACTCTGTCACCTACAGTGAAAACACATAAAGTCTCTTCTTAATTGTGTTACCAGATTTCCAGATATTCTCCATTCCCTGTAAAACATACTGGCAGATACCCGTAACCTATCTACTAAGCCTTCTCTATAAGCCTGGCCACTTCTGCTCCTGAGGATTGAGTTGCATGACTGTTAAGAGTGAGTTGTGTTTACTAACAAATTCATTCTAGTTGTACTTTTTTCATTGCAACAGCAAACTGATACAATATGAGTGTGAAAAAGAGTTATTTCTATAAAAACTAAGTAAATACTCTGGAAATACAAAAAAAAAGAGAAGTTGATAAAAAATTGCTGTTGAATTAGATGTGAATAACTGTCAAAGAGTAGAGGAGGATAATGAGAAAAATTTCAGATAGCCTACTCAAATTTCCTTGCAAGTATCTTTACATTTTTATTCCACTCTAACATATCAAAACTGATAATCATAGCAAAGTACTTATGGATGTGGCTCTTGCTGATTCTTATCAGAAGACCTTTACTCGAAGAAAAGACTTGGTGTGATGTTAGAAAACTGGTGAATAGACGCACATTTGGAATTTTAGGGTGAAATAAAATACTCAAGATTGTAAACGATTCATTTTATGATTCCCTACTTGCAGCTGACTTTTTAAGCTAATCAAGCAATTATTGACCAAGTACACATTAAAAAGACAGTACCTTTTGCACTTTATTCAGGCAGGGTCACTACTGCTCCTTTGGGCTTACTAGATGAGTATTTCTTGGAAGTTTTGTGTAGGAAGAGCTGAGTTGTTGGACGATCTCTGTACTTTCTACTTTCATTATGTGATATGGAATGGAAGAAACTTTCCCCAGAGTAAAGGAATGGTCAGAAATCTGTGGAAGCATATGGCAAATCCACAGTGGTTTTCTGAGTCTCCAACATATATAATCCCAAGCTTTGGAGTACCTTCAATATGTATACCTCTGGGGCTGTCCGGCTCAGCAAAGCAAAGCTAACACTTTTGTTTGCTGTGGTTTTAAGAGAAGGGTTCTGACATTTTTCTTTCATGATATGGGTCTTAAACTGAATCCATAACCTTAGTTGTACCATTTTCCAGAGGAGCTTTTATCTGCATTACAGAAATATAATAAATAAGCTATGCCAAAATGGGGGAGAGGTCACTGGTACTTCTGCATTGTTTAAAAAATAAAATATGAAGTTTAAAAGAAGTAGAATATTCACATCATATATAATTGCCAATTTAATCTAGTTTTCTATTTAGAATTGTAAGCCAGCCAAAAAGAGATTAGTACAGATACAACCCTAATGACTAATTTCACTATTGCCTTTGGGATCTATATAATCGTTACGACAGTGATGGATAATTGTTGGAACTGATTTCAGGTAATATTCGCCTTTAACCCTACATTTCCCTAATCACTTTCATTTTGCTGTGTGCAAATATGGAAAGCATTAGACATACTGAAGTTGAAGTAGGGGTGGAACAGTGGGGAGGAGGAAGAATTCCTGTCTCAGCAAATTTCACAAAGAAACAGCAATATCAAAATAAGAGCAATCTTCCAGTCACCTAGGATAAACAATCATCAAAATGATGAGCAGTCCTTTTCTCTCTAATGTAGATAAATGTGCCAATTTAAAAAAAAATACCCACGTCCATTGAGAGTTCACAAGGAGGCATCCACAGAAAATTAATGACACTTCAAAGCAGCAAGTATTTTCAGCCTGGTCTGAGAGAGTAACATATTTCACTAATTATTATGCAGTACACTTATAGCTTTGTTTCTTTTCCCCCCATTTTTCAAGGCACATGTTTTTTCCCCAGAAACACAGCTGCTTTAAACATTTATTTTTATTGTTTCCCTAGAAAGAAGCAGGAAGTATCCAACTAGCCACTGTAATTTGTGAAACCTACTGCCAGTAAACTTTGCTTGATTTATACCTTTGCCCCAAGTTGTACCTTCAGGTCGGCCTTGTTTTTCTGTTTGAACCTGACAGAAAATAGTCTGCTATAAAGAAAGAAACTAACAAATATACTGATACACTTCCTTGCAGCCTATATTTTTCAGGTAAACTCACTGTTCTTTTTCTCTCTTCAAGAATGCCATCTAAAATCGCTAAACATTAATTAACCATTAAAGCCAAAGTATACCTTATATGTGCCCTTGAAAGAACATCTTTTTAAAAATGACATTTCCTTACTATAAAAGTAATACATGCTCATTGTGGAACATCTGGAACACACAAGAAAATGTAAAGAAAAAAGTTAAACCATAATCTCACAAACCAGGCACAAGCATTGTAAACATTTTAGTAACCTTCCTCCCAGTGAAAGAACACGATTCTTTAATAAATCTTGAAAATTATCTTCTATTCCTTAGTAAAAATTTCTATTTCTCAATAAAAAAATCTTTGTTATAATTTTTCATTTAGACTTATATTGCTTGTAATCTTTGGGAAAGTTTTAATAGCAAACCTGGTGTGTATAGTTTTAAATTTTTATCATATTGCTTATTAAGTAACAGGGTCCTAAAGTCTAAATGACTGTAACTGATGAACAATACACTTGTGTAGAACAGTGTTCAAAAGGATAATTTTAAAGATCACGTCAGTTACTTACGAATGACGATGTCAAAATAAGCTTTGGGAGAGTCCTGATAAGAGCTATAGTGAACAGGATGGTTTGATTGGTTATGTAATGTAAGCATTTCCACAATCACAAAACTCAGTATCACAAAACTCAGTCAAATGCAGGCCAATCTGTGGAGTATGGAAACCTCTTTATAAGGTTTCTGGGAGCATCATGGTATTCAATCCTTCAGGGAGAGGATTCATCTTACTTTATCTTGCCCGTATTTGGAGATTCGGAGGCTATGCTTAGTTATTGTGTCTTCACACGCTCCAGATTAAATACATTTATTATCTGGAACCTTGTAGAGAAGAGCATCTTGAAATTCAGAGTTGTAATATGAAAGTGCCTAAGAGCAATACAGACTGCTGCTCATATCATAGGACTTAAATTTTTGGTTCTCCCTTAAAGTCCTATCTAAATGCTTGGTATACTCCTTTCCAGTAGAAGAATTCAAGGAGGATGTCAGAGACACGTACACACACATATAGTTTTTTAAAAACTCCATTCCTAACATGGTAATCAAGTGTCTTTTCATTTTACTTTCTATTTAAAACCACTATCAAGTAGTTCACATGTCTTCATATAAATCACTTCGGACAGTGGGAGGCCTAGAGTCTTCCACATACATACCATTAGAAATTCACTGGAATAAACATCCTAAGAACTTACCAGTATATTTTTGACAACCGCCTCCTGTTCACTTGCTTATATATATTCAATGAGTGTCATTTTATTACTTAATGTATAGCAATGGAAACACCAAGAGTCAGATGCCAGGTAGTTAACGCATTTATAGCAGAACTGAACACTAGTCAAAGATTCGGAGTCCAAGAACTATACCACCTCCAGGGAGATGTTCACTGTCAAAAGGAAGAAACAAAGGCACCACGCACTAGGAGAGGATGAGTGAAATTAACAGTAGCCTGAAAAGCACAACAGCCAGCACCACGTGTCTGCTTACTTGAGTGCTGTTCTGTAGTGGTAGATGGCTTCCCTGTTCCGACCTTGGTCCTTCAGGAAATTGGCATAGTTGTAGTGTACCTTGGCGTTGTGGGGCAGAGTTTGAACTCCAGACCTAAAATTAAAAATTAAAAAAAAAAGCAACAAAGAGTACTGTTTAGGAATGTTGCCAGTCTCCTTCACATTTTACTCACAGTTTCATAAACCTGTATTTGAAATGGTCCATTGTATCCATCTAAGCCAAAGCTCCCAAAATTTGTGAATTATATGAGCTACTAAATAGGCTTATGCGGACAATAACGAAGAAGGCAGCTATGCACAACTGAATGAACATGCTAACTGTATAAGAACAAAAAATTGCACTTAGCACAGAAACATAAGGATCTTTGTACACATCAGAGGCAAAGACAGAGCCTTGGCAGGGTTCTGCCATCTCACTTGAGACGTCTTCCAAAAGGACCCAATTATAGAGCTGAGAGTACATCATGCAACAAAGGGAACACACAACTGTCCAATTAACAGGCCGGCTTTCCTAACTCAGGGTGCGGTTGGCAGAAGATGCAACGATGCTGTGGATATGCTGCTGCAAAATTAGCCCTGCAAACGATTAGTACAAGAACTTATCCTTCTAGTAGGAATTTCAGCATGAGGCAAACCCTTTTTTTCATTCACGTGTATCTCAGGGGCCAGCTTCTTATTCATGGAGGTTTGATGAAATAGCCTAAAGTGATCTCTGTGAGCACAGTAAAAAGAACCAAAGAAAGAAAAGATAAAATGGGCTTCATAAAACAAGAATAACACATAACTACGACCTCTTTTATAAAACATGAGGTGAGATTCCCCTTTATTCTCTGCCTTCCTTCTCTTTATTCTTTCCAACCTTATTCTAGTATCCTTCAATACTGGAACCTATGAAATTGGTTTATGTGGAAGACATTCTCCCACTTCCCTTTCCACCTACAAAGTTATTGCTTCCTCCTTTGTATGCACAAATCTCAGGGGTGCCAGGATAGAAGAAAACCACATTCTAGAACGTTCCTTAATTATGCAATAATGGTGGGTGGTAAAGTCAGGGTTGGCTGAAACAACAATCACATGCCTGGCCCTAGTATGGTCTGGAGTGGATGAAAGGAAAAGCAACGGTAAAAGTTAATGCAGGACTGAACAGAATCATTAAAAAGAAATATATTATGGAAGTAAGATGGTTTGATCAAATTACTTTGTAAACATTTATCTGAACTGAATTAATGGTGTAGTTGTTCATTATCTATGAAGGGCCCCTTTGGTATCAGGCACTGTGTCAGTGAAGGAGATATAAGATAGTCAAAGTCCCTGCCCTCAAGGAGCTTACAGGGGTGTAGTCACTATGCACCATCAGGAAAGATGAATGATTATAAGACAATTGGTTGTTCAGTTGTACACACTTGCCTTTTAATAGCAGGCAGACAGATACTTATCCCAGATGCGGGGATCAAGGGAGGCTTACAGGAGGAAGTAGCAGCAAAGCTGAGACTTTAAGGATAAGAAGACATTAAATTAGCCTCTAGAAAAGGAGAAACGAGGATGTCTTAAGCAGAGAACTCAGAGAATGAAGAACATGGAATGTTGAGGGATTGAAAAAAAATGCCAAGTAGCTGGGTCTTAGAAAGTTACTTCCAAGAGTGGATAGATCCTGAAGGCGCCTTGTGGGTCCCATCAGAGTATTTGGGTTTTAAGAACAGTGGCGAGTCAATGGATGGTTTTAAACAGAGAAGACAGACCAACAATCCAGCATTTTTGAAAGAGAGCTCTGGCTGTAGTGTAGAACTGGACTGGAAGGAGGAAAGGCTGTAGGCATGGAGAGTATATGGAGGGCTGCTGTAGTAGCTGAAGAAACAGAGAGAGAAGGAAAGGGAGAGAGACAGAGACAGAAACAGAGAGATGACAGCCAGAACTTGAGCAGCAGGTATAGGAAGAAGCGGAAGGTTTCAGGAGATCTCAGGAAGCAAAGGAAACGGGACTTGGTGATAGATGATTCTTTGGAGAACAATCCTGCATGCTTAGTCAATTCAGTTATTTCCTTCCTTCCTTCCTTCACTTACAGTCTTCCCTGTTTAAAAAAAAAAAAAGATACAGTCTACAGAGATAAATCATTACAAGAGGAGAATTATAAAGTGATCAAAGCAGAGGTAGATCAACCGAATATCTGATAAGTTATGGGATCTACAACACAAACAGATTTTTATTCTTTAGCTCATGCCCATGATTTTTCCCTGGAAAAACATCTGAGAGGCATTACCCATCATCTTTGACAGCTCTAAAATAATCCTGTAGTCAAATACATTTTCCTCACATTTTAATGTTAATGAAATCAGGATTTTTGTATATATTTAATGTAGCATTTTTCTTCTTTTTTCAAATTTCTCCCAAATTGCTTGCAATCAGTACTGCATTTTACAACTGATGAAGACTTAGAACTGAGGAAATATGATAGTTGTGAAATGTACTTCCATGTAAACTAATGAGTTGGCCTGTTGTATGAGGTTACTGAATATATAAGAGAAACGATACATTGGAGGTTTTCTGCCAAAAATGATTATATTGATTTAAGTATTGTTGATCTTAAGAGAGTTTTTTTTTTTTTGACAGTGATGATATAGCTGGCCCAGTTGTCTTTTCAGGACATCCCTAGCTCATGACAATAAAATCAATCCATTGGATAATCAGAGAATATTTTTCTATTAATCTTCAAAGACTTCGGCTGTTTCTGTGGACATTGTGGTTGTCCATTTCACCGTTCTCCCCTGATGTAGTAGGCATATGAGGAGAGCATGGAAATTGACCACACACCCCAATACTGGGGTTTACTCTTGGTGTGAATCTCCATTTTCTGACCCAGTCAGGTTAATTTCATTTCCCCAAGCACAGTGACTAGTTCAGGTAACCTAGGCCTAAGCCAATTCGCAAATGGCCTTACTCTGGACATAGAAATTAACTCAGGAATGGACATGTAACCCTATTCAGAACAATGACTTGTGAGGAGAGGATTGAGAAAGATGATTCTAATCCCTTGTGATACCAGAAGCCAGCTCTCTTCTCCCACTTGATATGGAAGCAGTAGACACCATGGCAGGCAGAACGGAGAGACAGAACAAATCCTGAGACACTAAACTGCTTAGAGCACTAACTACGTGCCACACACTGTTCAAAGCATTTTGCATGTATTAATACATTAATGGAGTCCCTGGGTGGCACAAATGGTTAGCACTTGACTACTAGTTGAAAGGCTGGCAGTTCCAACATCCTGGAAGCACCTCAGAAAACAGGCCTGGTGATCTGCTTCTGAAAGGTCACAGTCATGAAAACCCTCTGCACACATGGGGATGCCATGTGTCGGAATCTACCCAACGGCAACTAACAACCACAACAGCAATATATTTAATACATTTAACCCTGTAAAGTTAGGTTAACCATCTTGAATCCCATTATGTTAAGCCAATGTTGTTGCTGTTGTTAAGGGCCATCAAGTCGGTTCCGACTCATAGCAATCCTATGTACTACAGAATGAAACAATGCCCGGTCCCATGCCACGTTCACAATCCTTGTTATCCTTGAGCCCACTGTTGCAGCCACTGTGTCAATCCATCTTCTCGAGGGTCTTCCTCTTTTTTGCTGACCCTCTACTTTACCAAGCATGATGTCCTTCTCCAGGGACTGATCCCTCCTGATAACACGTCCAAGGTATGTGAGACAAAATCTCACCATGATGATAATAATAATTTAAATGATAAACTACCTTTATTATTTAAATTAGTTTGATTTTATTGTCACCTGACACTCCACAAATACCAAAGAGATACAGCTAGATAACTGATTCTCTTTTGGGGTGGGGCAGTTTATATATTACCACTGAAGTCATGGTTGAAACCTGAGGGAAAGTATCTACTGCATGTTCTGCAGCATGAGCTCGACCTGTCCCTAACTTTCTGCCTCCTTCTGGGTTGCCAAACACTGTTGGTGAAAACTACATAGCATGACACCCCACTGCAGCCTTCAATACTGCTCAGAAATTACTTATTCCTAATCAGCTATCTTTTGAAATCCCCAAGGTAGCAAATTCCAACCTTCACCTGTCTCCACCAGCATTCTTCCTCACCTCATTCTCCCATTCTCAGCAGAATATCCTACCTACCATTTCACTGAGATGGGGTAGGGTATCATTTGTGAACTACTCTTCCCGACCGTCCTTTCTCACTCTGTTTAGAATTTTACCTTGGTTCAGCCACACCCAGCTCCAGAGTTGTTCCCATGGGTCAAGCAGCCCAACTTCTAGATGTCCTGCAAGGACTGTGCACTTAACATGGTCAAGACCTACAATCATTAGCACCACACACTGTCTCCCCAATCAAACCATCAAAATCCTGCTTTTATCCCTATATTTTATGGTAATGATTATAGTAGTTAAAAAAATAAAGTTAAATGTCAGTGGTGGGATGGCAGAAAGAGGTAAGTAGCTGAAGAAGTAATCAAGATATTTTGCCACGTGGGCATCAGTAAGTTAAGAACTGCATTAATTCCTCCCTGTGTTAGGAGGTGGAGCTGAGATGTGGACAAGGACACTGACAGAGCCAGGTCAGCTCCTTCACCTACCTCACATAATAGGTATCACATGGGGACCTGATGAGTTGAAATCACCTCGGGGGCAACAACACATTGTAGGGGTATGGTGTGATTAATTTACCTTTGTGTGTGGCTTTTCTAGCCATGGTCTTGTAACTCCTACCCAGGTGATTGGGTGGGACTGTGTGATAGGGTAATT